TTGTTTCAAAGAAAACAATAAGTAATGCACTGAACCACCATGGCCTGTATGCACTCTCACCACGCAAGACTCCACTGCTGAAGAAACAGCATGTTGAAGCTCCTTTAAAGTTTGCTGCACAACAGTTAAACAAGCCTGTGTAATACTGGGAGAATATCCATCCATCCATCCATTTTCTGTACACGCTTATTTATATAATTTCTTCTTTTTCTGCTTCTGCACTCGGCGAAGACAGATGCTTTTTCCCTCTCTCCTCAGCCTTCCCTTATTTACCCTGGTTTGCTGCTTTTTGGAGCCTCTTTTACATTTCATCCAAAACTGGAAATTATGGATCTGGTCAGCTGGTCTCTCAACACTATCGATCATTTTTTATGGAAAATGGGCAAAGGAGAGCCTACTTGTCCTGATGTGGACATCAAAGATGTTTGGATAATTGGATAAATGATAACAGGATTTCTACTGATTGGCAGTGGTGCATATCTGGCATGTCATGGAATATGGAAGGTGCTGGCAGCTATTCGGACCCTGTGGAGACTGCTGACTTTGTGTGATGGGTTAAGCCAGGCTGTCACTCAGACTGGTGGAGGTGAACCACAAGCTGGATGGGATCCTTGCTGGGGGTCGTAGGCCAGATGTGGTTCCTGAGCCCACTGGTGGGAATGTATAGATCTTAAAGAAGTTGTGGCTGGTGTAAGGCCAGATGACCAACAAAATTTGGCTGTTTGGAAGTTTGCCATTGAGAGTTTATGGTTAGGCATTATTATTCACCATTATTTAACCAGGCAAGTCCCGTTGAGATGTCAGATCTCTTTTTCAAGGGAGGCGTGGGCCTGAAGGCAACCCATTGTACATCTTTTTGTGGGGTGGGGGAAACCAGAGTACCCGGAGAAAACCCACACAAGCACGAAGAGAACATGCAAACCCCGCACAGAAAGACCCCAGGTCCGAACCGGGGAACGAACCCATGACCTTCTTGCTGTGGGGTGTTGGTGCTAACCACTGAGCCGTCGTGCTGTGACAAACAAATCTTCTGTGTCAGCCTGTTCCCAAAACAATTGTGATTGTTGATTCGGCACCCTACTACATGTCCTTGAAGACTGGTTTTCTCAAACTCTCCTTAGATGTTATTGTCAACTGACGTTCTGCCCACCTTTCCCTCCTCCCACTCCCATGTGTGAACTGTTGTCTGGAAGCAAGCCGAAGGCAGAAAAGATGGACATAGCAACATCATTATTCTGAGACTATGGCTGGGCGGGGCTGTTTGGGGAACTGGTTTACACACGGTTTTACTTACAGATGTTTACATATGTGCACACAACACTTCACGGCTTCAGATACATATACCTTTAACTCACTGCCTTTGCTGACTATTCCCTGTGTTTCTCTGTTCTACCCCTGTCACCCCCCATCCCCCACCACATATTCTTGCTCTGTGCAGGGTTTTTTTTGTACCTTTTATTTTGTCTGACATTAACAGGACTTGTGTAACGTTAAACTCAGAGGGGCTGAGATGCTTTACCCAAGGCAAGCGATGCTTCAGCAAGGATCCGATCTTCAAAGCAGCCTTAAAGGGGCAATATTGTGTGTTTCTCAGGCATACATTTAACATTTACTGTACCATAATAAAGTATCTACGTCACCTTTGGCTGTTATTAAAATGCTGTTTTTTTGTTTAAATAGAAAATAAACTTATCTTCTCATCACTTCCTCTTCTAAATGCCTTGAAATTGGCCTCTGTCTCTTTAAGAACCACCTTCCGCTCATATCTCGCCCATTTCGGCGCGCGCGGGGG